ATAAAGTACATTACATTAGCTTTAATTTAAAATATATATAAAAGTGTCAGACTTTCCGGAACACTTTCAAAATTTAAGTTGAAAAAGTTGTCATTTTGAATCCCCCCTGTAGGCAGGTAAAAAGTCAGATTTATAAAAAAATTATACCAAATGATAGGTTAAGACATCATGCATCTACAAAAAAAAGAATTATATTGATCCATAGATCTCTCAAAAAGTTATAGCATTATAAAGTTAAAAATATAAAAAAGAATTTTTTTACAAAAATCGTATTTTTTTTATTAAGTTTAATGTCTGTTTTCACCATGAAGATAAAATAAAGTCCGAAATTTTTTTTTACCATTATAAAGTATATTACATTAGCTTTAATTTAAGATATATATAAAAGTGTCAGACCTTCCGGAACACTTTCAAAAGTTAAGTTGAAAAAGTTCTACTTTCTATATGCATTTTTATGTTTTGAATCCCCCCTGTATTTAGGGAAATGGTCCGATTTAAAAAAACAGTATGTCGAATGAAAGATCTATATAAATACTACTTCTCATAAAAAAATTGTAATGATTCATACATTTTTCAAAAAGTTATAGCATAATAAAGTTAAAAATGGAAAATACAAAATCGAAAATTTTCACACAAAAATAGCATTCGGTAGCCATTTTCACCATGAAGATAAGATAAAGTCCGAAATTTTTTTTTTTCATGATAAAGCATATTACATTAGCTTTAATTTAAGATATATATAAAAGTGTCAGACCTTCCGGAACATTTTCAAAATTTAAGTTAAAAAAATTAATTTTTTGTGAAAAAGTTTTCATTTTAAATCCCCCCTTGTGGGCAGGTTAAGGGTTAAATTTATGAAAAAAATATACCAAATGAAAGGTAATGATATTATTCATCTATATAAAAAAGAATTATATTGATATGTTTATTTTTGAAAAAGTTATGGCACTTTTAAGTAAAAAAAATTGAAAAAATTTCGAAAATTAGCTATTTTTAAATTCATAATTTTTTTGGAGGTTACCCCCATTTACGGGGAACGAGGGAATTTTTTTCAATTTTTGAGGGTAATGTCTTCGACTAGATACAATTTGTGATCTTTTGACGTATCGTTGAAAGAAATCCGTTCGGTGAGAGCTTAGAAAAAGTGGTAACAGACACAAAAAAAAAAAAAATAAAAAAAAAATAAACGCATCTTAGTAAAACCAATACCTTCTCAGTTTCGCTTCGAAGCTAAAAATTTTCCTTTAAAAATTTGTAAAAAGTAAAACTTTAAAAATATTTTTTGTAATTAATTTTTTTTATTATTGCAGTTGATCTAAATCTATTCAAGTATAAATTTTCTTCAATTTTATCAGACCATCAAAAAGTTATGGTGTAAGTTAATTTTTTAAATAAAATTTTACCTACGAAGGATAGTCTTTAGTTATAGACGAAGAGAATTTTTCTATGAACTTTTGTAGTCTCACCTACAGATATAAATGATTTTTTAAATAATTGCCTACATATTTTTTGATAAAAAAAATAAAATAAGCGTATTATAATATACAAAATAGTGATCTTCTAGGAAAAATCAACGATTCCTTTTTTTTAATGGATTTATCAAAAAAGTTATAGGAAATTAATATATAAAAATTATTTATAACGACAATTTATATCTTGTGTTTTATTTTGCTAATGTTCTTTTACAAGTTATATGCAAATGACCAAAAAATTACCCTTATTCTCCAACTTTAAACTTCGAATTAGAATGTGTTAAAATTATATGATAGACCTGATATTTAATGGAATCAAGGTTTCTTTGTTGAAAATAAATGATTACGCAGCGGTTAAATATTAATCACAACATATTTTTAATTAATATTGATAATAATTAATATTAGGATTGGAGTACATCAAAGTGATACGATAAGTTATCGTAAGGAGTTAAGTTTACATGTCGGATCACGTCACCTGGCATAGCGCGACCTGTTAGAAGAGGAAACACAGCTATGTCGCTATTACCATCTAGTGGTAAAGCAAGAAGTGCGATACAACTGCGTCATACTCCCCCCTCAGTCCGACTGGTCAGCTAACACCTCGAGCCTAGGGGCGCTGGTCTTTTAGCCCTTCCTCCAACTAATGGAAGTCCGGAACCATAATTTGTGGGGCATTCAAGACTTAGACTTCTAACTCATCCTCCATTTCATCCAGTTGTACGAAGTCAATATGCAGGACTTCGTAATGGACCCCCTCGGTCTTCTTCGACAAACACTACTGGAAGACTTTATTGTTGGTTCCCGGTTTCGTTGAGATGAGTCTTACTCCCTTCTTCATGTGGTTTCTCCATGACGTGGGTCGCCGGGGCTGGTGAAATTGCTGATGGTTCAGACCTTAGCGGCACTCACGACCTTTGCGTCTCGCACGCTGTAACAGTGTTTTTGATGGGTCTGCTCCAGATACTCATGAGCCTGTTGCTTTGGTTAGCCAACGGGGGGGGGGGGCTGTGTGTTGTGATCGTACAGTTTTCGATTCTCTCTGTTTTCGGTTGTGGCCATTTCCGGTATGTTGCCCTCAATCCGTCAAACCTCTGTCAAATGCTGTCCAGAGGAACGATTGACTCTGCAGCTGCTACATTTCGGCTCGTCGCACCCGATCCACGGTCTTATTCTTCGGCGTACTACCGAAAGGCTCTCCTATAAAACCAGCTACCTGGCGCATTAGTCTGCGCACCTACTGAAACATAAGCGCTGCTGTTTCGGCTGCAAGTTGACAATATGGACGGGCTTTCCCTTGCAACTGGTTGCCGGTCATTCTGTAACAGATAATGATTGTTAGGATTACCTCCTGAGGCGTCATGATTCATGGCAGTCTCATGCAGCTTCAACTGACGCTTTCCTTTAGTCATAATCAGTCCCTCGCATAATTTTTTGCTAGTTGCACGGAGTCCAGACACTTAGGGACAAGCCGGTGTGAAATTTTTTATCCGCACTTGATAAGGGATGTGCGCAGTTGGGTTCCAATCCCCTTCCTCAAAGCATGTACGGTGATTTTCACGGGACGAATTATGAATAGCGTTATTTTTACCGAAAGATGACCCGAAAGAGGATTGCTTTCCCCCTCAGGAAATTTTAAATTCCCACTGAAGACACCGGAGTTCTAGGTTATTACACTAGAGTTGATGCATTCCTTTGGTTTGTTCGGGGAAAATTGTTTATTTTTTTAAATCCTTTCGGTAAAATTCTTAATTTGACCTGTTATTTCTACTTGTTTCGGGTTGTTATTCCGTAAGTCCGATTGTTTACTTGAAGAAATAATGTCCAGTAGCTAACCGTCGAGGGCTTTAGCTTCTTATCCAAAGACCCGAATCTTCCACAGATTTGTTCGGCAAACTGTTCTCGGAGAAAGCTGCTTGTGTTTCTTGATCAGGACGTTTTGCATTACTCTCCAGTATTTCCGAACTTCTCTTTTTACCATACGTTTCTTCCGTTTCTCCGTATTTGATTGCGGTGAACTGCATATTTTTGCATTTCGCATAACGCGCTGATTACGTGACGGGCCTGTAGATTTGCCTAATATATATGCTAGACCGATTCATGTCTCCCATAATCACCCAGCGTAGTGCGACCTGTTGAACGAGGAGAGGCAACTGTGTCGTAGTCACCATTCAGTGATAAACCCGGAAGTACGATGCGACTGCGTCACATTTTTTTTGGTTTATTTTTACATGTATTTGAAATGATTTAGGAGGTAAAACTAAATAATTTTTTTAAAAATTCACATCAAATCATCCAGGTTGCGCAACTATTTAAAATTTTTTAGAAATTGCATACATGAATTACCTAGTTATAAATGAAAAAAGTATTTTAAATAAAAATAACAAAATGTCAAAATTTTGAAATCGCAAAATACTGTTATTTCGTAAAAATTCCGTCGAAATCATTGTATTTATACTTACAACTTGAAATCTCAATACGTTTTCATTAAAATGTCTTCAACATTTTCAATAATCAAAAATAGAACTCTTTAATTTTTAATTGACTTTTTAAGTAATTTTTACTTTGGCCTTTTTTTTTTAGTAAAATAAGTTAAAAAAAACTTAAAATTTCTAGAATAACGAATTTTAGGCATTTTTATCTCAACTATTCTCTGTTTTAACAAATTTGAATCATACAATATTTTTACACTTGTTGACTTACTACTTTATCAAATCGAAGTTATTTATCTTTAGATGTGCTATTTCTTTTATTTAGTTCTTCTTTTTTGGCATACTACTAGATAAGTTTCCTCTTTATAAGGCTATGTAGATTGTCTTTATAGATACTCGCATATGTTAGCAATATTTTCATGCCTCTGACATAATAATTCTTTTTCATCAAATTGAAAATCATTAATATTGTTCAAACAATCTGAAATAGAATGAATGCTAATATGGTAAGTTTTTGAATGACGCTTTTATTGTAGATATGACCCTATTGAACAGTTCATTATTAAAAAAAAAAGTAATATGTAAAAATAAAGAATTTTGAAATTAACAATAGTAAACACGGTGTATTAAATTCAAAATGCTAAATGATACAAATTAAACATTATAACATACTTTACATTGTAATTCATAATTACGAGTTAAAACTATAATTGTTGAAAATTTTAGACTTTATAATGAACAAGAGGTATAATTTACTATCTGAAACATAAATATAATGATTTTTATGAAATACTGATATTCGTGATTTCATTTTTTTGTCAAAACATAAATCTATTTTCACCTATATATTTTTTTTATCATGTACTAGGAAAAACAGGTATAAAATTAAAAATACAAATTGTCATAGTCGTAAACCATTCTGGGTGATTTGATATAGATTTTTTCAATTCTGAAAAACTTTGGTGTCTCTCCCTCCGACATTATTCACATATATGTAAAAATTAACTAAAAAAAAACCAAATCAAATCAAGAATTATATGTAACTAAAAATAAAATTCTGAAACTTATTATATCACCAGTAATCGAGTGGTTTATGTATCACAGATTATTCTGTATAATATATACAGGGTGAAAATCTTTCAAACCATAGTAATGTATGGGCGAGTATCATGGTAAAGTGTAAAATAAGACCTCGTTTTTTTTTTTTTTTTTTCCAAAATTGGAGAAATTTTGGAGTAACTCCCCCGAATTTCTCTAATATTAAAAATAAATCATACCACAATATTCCCCGCAAAATTTTCATACAAATTGAGTGGTCACTCGATTTTTTGTAACTTTTGCGCCCTCCCCTGAACTTTGGGCTCAAAGTTGGAAAAAAATTTCACAATAGTGTGACCCATCAATTTGTATTGAAATTTCACTGGGAGTCCTGTGATGTAGTTTATTTTTAGTATAAACGATTAAATAACAAGAAAAACCAAAAAAACCTACAAATAATGTGATATTTTTTTTAATTTCATGAGTTTATTTCGTCTTTTATTATTTATTCAAACCGATTATAATTTTTATCATTGAAACTGTTATAAAATTATAAATTTTTTTCTTTTTAGGTCGGGGAAATAAAACAATTATAATATTGAAATGAATATTTTTAACTTTATTACAATAGGATAATTAGAAATAATTATTTTAATGTAATCGGCACACTACTCTTTTCCGAAATTAATCAATAATGAGAATATGGTACATCACTGAGCTTGTTAATGTTTATTTAAATGTTCGAAAAATACTGTTCACTATTGAATAGTCACTTATTAAGTTGCACATAATATTAGATAACCTATAAAATATAGCTTCTTTTTTTGTGCAATAAAAATGCATAAATATTACATTATTTGTAGGTTTTTTTGGTTTTTTTTGTTATTTAATCGTTTATACTAAAAATAAACTACATCACAGGACTCCCAGTGAAATTTCCATACAAAGTGATGGGTCACACTATTGTGAAATTTTTTTCCAACTTTGAGCCCAAAGTTCAGGAGAGGTCGCAAAAGTTACAAAAAATCGAGTGACCACTCAATTTGTATGAGAATTTTGCGGGGAATATTGTGGTATGATTTATTTTTAATATTAGAAAAATTCGGTTATTCCAAAATTTCTCCAATTTTGGAAAAAAAAAAAAAAAAAAAAAACCAGGTCCTATTTTACACTTTACCAGGATACTCGCCCGCCCATACATTACTATGGTTCGAAAGATTTACACCCTGTATATACAAAGTAAATTCTTAACTACTCTTCATGAAATATCTTTGAAAATATTTGAGCTAATCATTATTTTATTTTTTTAACAATAATGATACATTGTTAGGCTGGTTTTCACGAAAAATTAATTTTTTACAACTAGCCTCTTTTACATTAAACTCGTATCAACTTTCAATTTTTATGTGACTACCTCAATTTTGTTTTATATCACCATATTAATTAATTAAAAAAAAATGTGTTTCTTAAAAAATATTTTTAATTTATATGATTTTAAATGAGTTACAACTGTTTAAACTTTAGAGCAAAAAAAATGTATTTATTTATAGAAGACGGCATTTGATTAAGTTGTAAATTCATAAGTGCACTTATTCATTACAAAATATTTGGGTGTGAGGTAAACATCTTCATATCGAAAAACACAACCACTATAAGGAGTTTTGATAATTATCAGGATCAAATTTTGATATTTTAGTAATATTATTTTCAATCTCTAGCATTTTAAATTAAATTTTACTATATTTGTATATAATGAAAATTATATTTTTAAATCTATATTTAAAATATTTGATATTAATTCATAATAATTTATTGTGATTATTATAAATTTTAGACATAAGAATGAATTTTACAATATTTCAAAATCTATTGTTCTTTTACAAATAGCGGTTTGTTCAGTTACTTTAAATACAATTTCGTGTTTGTGTATATTGGTAACTATTGTTTTTGTTTTATTATAAATAATTAACGCACTAATATTTTATTAAATTTATAGGCGTATGTTCAGAATATTCCTTCTCTATCATATCTAACAATTAAAAATATAGTGGCTATAACTATGATAATAATTCAATTATACTCATACTGTGTTCTTTTTGGAAAAATCGATCAACAAGTTAGACATTTTAAGTTACATTAATATTACCACAGAATAAAATTATCAACCGACCCTGTGTTAATAAGAATAATTGATATACATATAAATAAAAGTAGATATCTATCCTACTTTTATTATTATTTTTTTTTTAATATAATGAATTACCTTTATTAATAAAAATATTTTGCTTGCTTAAATTATTTTTATTTAACACATTTTTTGTAATGATTATACTAAATAATATAAAAGTAAAATTTTGTGGACGAAAAATAAAATTTATTACAATCACAAAATAAATCTAAGTTATTAGTGTTATTTTTTAGAGATGGTTATTATAATATATTGTAATAAAAGAAAATAATGCGATTTCAGACATCATCAATGAACTTTGCTTACTATAGTTGTAACTGGACATCAAAGGATACTCATTTCAAGAAGTTATTGTTGTTAGCAATGATAACTAGCAGTGCCAATCAAGTAAAGATGAAAGTTACGCCATTAAAAAAAGTCAATTTAGAAATGTTTTTAAACGTATGTATTACAAGTAGAAAAATTCTCTACATTGAATTATACATTTGTAAATAATTTTAAAAGTTATAAAATGAATAAACCATTGCATACACTGTAAATAATCGCAATTAATAATGATATTGAAAAATAGTATTAATAATAATAGTTTGAAAAAATATTATAACTATTTTTCTTGATATATAATTTTTTTATTTATTTTTTACTGAAAATAAAAAATGTCCTGAATGTAAAAATATTGATTTATTTAGTATAATTATGCTTAATTGATCAATAAAAGGTTTAATTTATACATTTTCTAATTTTTATTGATAACATACAAACAAATTTAACAGTATCAATTTAGTTATATAGCATATTTAACAAATTAAAAAAAAAACGTGTGAAAAACAAGTATTTTTATTAATTTATATTTTAAAAAATAATTAAATCTGATAATTTATATAAGGTTTCAAATTATAGAATATTAATAATATTTCTATTTTATTTTCAGACCATTAACACATCATATTCAATTATCTCATTATTTATTCAAAAAAATCATAAAAAAATGACGTAATTTTACGATGGATTTTTTTTTACTGTCAATAAATATATATTTTATTGGTAATCACGTACATGGATGAAAACAATTAAAATCATTTATAAAAATATTTATAGGTTATCTTAACCTGAAGTGTAGATTATTAATATTGAGTAAAATCATTTAAAAAAGAATAAAAATAGTGAACAAATAAAACAAAGCAAATGCCCATCGAAGTTGAACAAATTTATTTATATATTACAGTTCTGTATCATAAAATTTGTAATCGCATTTATAATTAACAGGGTATTTTTATATGTAGTTTAAAAACTCATTTTTTACTAGTTTGAAATAATATAAAAAGTTAGAAGTAATAGTTCTAGTCTAATTGAAAATTTGAAAACGACGCGAAAAGTTGATTTAGAATAGTATATTTTGATTCTAATGAAAGTTCCTTGTAGACCAGTGCATTTATTTATAGTAACAAACAGTTTTTATTGAAAATATTGCATCAAGTCCTTAAAATATTTATACACGTAAAAGTAAAGAAATATACAACTACTTCATTATTTTTAAAATATCTCCGTATAAATTACAATATTAAATTATTGAATATCAATTTCATACTAATTTTAATAACTATAATTAGTATTTATTCATATATTATATTTTTAAATCAAAGAACTACTAATCAGGATGTGATTAAGGAAATAGGAGTTGATGTTGCTTTTGTAATCATACACCAACTTCTTAGAATTAAACACTATCTATAGATTTGGATCGAAGCGTTTTTATGATAGTGATTTTAACTCACTGTGCCATTGTGTTTTCATTTTATTGGTTTTGTTTGAATGAACATAACATAGATGTTTCTGAGCAAAAGCAATTAAAGTGCTTATCAATTTCAAATATTTCTGAAGTATAATAAATAAATTAGTTATACATTAATATAAAAAAAAGTCCATTACAGCTATGTAATAATCTATTCTAATTGTTGAATTATAGAAAACGATTAAAGAGATAATCAATTTTACTAAAAATATTAGCACACCTTTCATTGCAGCTTAATTGAAAAAATGTTTTCAGCTAAAAGTATATAAACTATACATATTGTACAAACAATATTAAACTTTGACATTTTCTAATTAAATATGACTAAAATGATTTATCAAAAATGTGTACAATGTATAATTAAGAAAAAATTTAAGCTATTTTTAAAAATGAACTAATAAAAACTAAAATTAACAAAAATAATATTCCCATTTAATAATTTACTAATAAAAGTATACTCAAAGCAGTTTTTTCTAAAACTTTTATGGTAGCTGTGTAATTTTTTCTCAAATTTATTTTAAAGAAGTAAAATTACATAATTAATATTAACATGCCGACAATTCTAAATACAAAAGTATATTTCTTATATTTTTTTGTGTTTTTAAAAATTGTAGCCACTACAGAATCGAAGACAGCATTAATAAATAACTTGTTAAGAATTTCTAAATGGAAAAATATAAAGGACATTGATTTTATTAAAATGCAAGGACGCACATATGAACTTGACAAAATAGTCGGGATAGATATTACAAGTAAAAACTACAAAACACAAATACGATGTGCTACTATATTATTAGGATGTTCGTATGGAAACATTTTAAAAATAATTTTCAAAATGATACTTTACTTCCAAAATTATTGTATCACATTAATAAATGAAAAAGACGAAAATTCCAAAACGACTAATTGCACCATAGAGTTACTGAATACTATATCTACTAGCTTAATTCCGTTAGTAAATCTGATGAAAGGAGCTTTAGATTCTATGGACAATTTACATTTTGTTCCTTGGAAATGCGGTAAAAGGAAAAACTATATATTGAATAAAGTGATAATAGCCATACAAAATGAAAAATTCTTAAATTCTTTAAATTACTCATCATCTTTACTAGCTAATACAAACATTATAACTGATAAATTAAAAATGCTAAGTCATTTTTTTATAGAAAGATGCATGGAATTAAATGCTGATATGAAGTTTTGTCAATTAAAAAATAACATTAATTATACTTCATTTTATCATAAACTTAATTATGAATATAATATACTAATAACTAATAGAAAAGAAGAAAATCTAAATCTAAAGTTCTATAATTTTTTAAAAATAAAAATCGAAAGTTTAGCTCAATGGACAATAAAAAACAGATATGAAGATTTAGGTTTTCAATGCGATTATAACACTTACGAGACTTTTATATTACCACATACAGAACAGATGGACCCCAGTTACGTATATTTATTTTACTAATTAAAAATAAGTTTTATTTATTCATAATTCCCTTCCATAACCACGTTTCTCGATGTATTAGGTTTTTTCAGAAAAAAGAATATAATAAATCAATTTTTAGCTAACAATGAAAATAGGCTATTTCAAGAAAATAAATGGACATTTTATAATTCAAAAAAACACTTAAAATATATTAGCTTTGATGTGAAGCAATAAAGTTATTGGTTTCATTTTAATGTGTTTTTTTATATGACTACTATTTTTTTTTAATGTTAACACCTTTTTTTAGTTCTTACAGAATCTATTTTATTTAATGATATGTTAATAGATATTTTTTTTCTCTTTTTTTTTATTTAATACTTACCCACATAGGCCATTGGGTAAACAATTACAATTTTGGTATTTTACAATTTAGGGTTTTAAACTTTATGTATTTTACAATTTATTACTATTATTTAATACATGAATTATTGCGATATATTTAAGGATATTTGTATTTTATATTTTATATTTTGTTTTGCAATTCAGACATTCTTATAAATTTTAGATTGGCTTCAATTGCTTTAGTTTCTAGTCCAAGAATCTCTGAAAGACGTTCTGGTAATCCAACCCGTCTTCTACTTTCTATGAAATTGATGCATTCTGGCATTTTGTGTTTAATTGTAAGTCGTGTATTACAGGATTCACAGGTTGGAGGATCTTTTTTAGACATAAGATAACTATGGGTAATATGTAAGTGACCTATTCTGAATCTTGTTAATATTACTTCCAATTTTCTTGGTAACTCTAGTGATAAAGGCCAGGGTATCACATTTTGTTTTATCTCGTGTAATTTTGTGTTGGTTGAATTCCAGTGCTCTTACCATTTTATTGTACATTCCGATTAAATTAACGAGTATAAGTCTTGTTTTGTAATAAGTTGAACTGTTATTGCTGATGGGTATGTTATTGCGTTCTTTGCTGTTTGATCTGCTAGTTCATTTTCTTTAATATTTTAATGACCTGGGATCCAGCATAATTGAATATCATATCCATTTTCTTTGGTATATTGAAGGGCATTTTGTACTTTGACATTTATATCATTCGTGTCGCATGTATTTTCAATGTTATTTATTGCACTAAGAGAGTGTGGAAAAATAGTTGCTTTAGGTATTTTTGATTCTATTATTAAGTTAATGACTTGAAGTATTGCAAATGATTCTGCTGTAAAGATTGAACATGTACTAGGGAGTTTGTATGATTTTTGTTAGTTAAATCTTTTTTATCTAATTCTAGTTCTGTAAGGCTTAGAATCATCAGCAAGCAACTATGAGGTAGCGTAGAAAACTTTGATTAGTCGATTTAATAACAAAAAAATTCGGCTGCAAACACATGTAAAAGCTATTTATGACGCTGAGGTGTTAAGTTTTGAATCAGCGGTAAAATTTCATCGATATAGTTAGTAACTATGTAAATACGCTAGGTGTTAGGCTACAAACCCTATGATCGGGGACCTTTATTAACGCATAATCTAATGATTAAACTGGATAAAATGACTTTGCGTGCATGGGAATTAAGTGCAAATAAAGATGAGGTAGCATCACCAAATGAGTTGATGTTATTTTTGGAAGAACCGTTCACAATGTTAGAATCTATAAAGAAATCAAAAACGCTTAATAATCGTTAAGCAACATCAAATGGGGAAAAGTATTATTCAATGTCATGCACTGTTGCAGATAAAACTATCAAATGTTTTATTTGTGAATTTTCACATACAATTTACCGATGTCCAACTTTCTTGACTTTATCCTTGCAAGAGCGTATTGAAAAGGTAAAACTTTGAAATATTTGTTTGAGCCAACACGCAGATAAAAAGTATACAGCTAAAAATTGTATTAGATGCGCTCGACCTCATAATTCGTTATTATATTTCCCACCACGTACCACAACACAGATAAGTAATGAAAACATATAAACTGACGAAAATAATAGTATTAAACAAAATGAACCGGTTGCTACCACCAGTGCGCACAGTTCGGTATTAACGATATGTGATCAAATAGTTTTAGGAACTGCTGTAGTAAACATAAGTGACGAGAATAATTTAATGTAGCCGTGTAGAGCATTACTTGATTCTGGTAACCAAAGTAATTTTATTAGCGAGCGAATAGTACAAGAAATGGGTTTAAAAAGAAAATGCATATCGCATAGAATATTTGGAATTGGACAAACAATGAAAAATATAAGTAGTTCAATTCAAATAATTGTAAAATCTAGGGTAAATAATTATATGTTATGTATCACTTGTCTAGTGATTCTCAGAATTATCGGTAATCTTCCCATGAAATATATAAGCAAAAGATTCAAAATTCCTGAACACGTAGTGATGGCAGATTCGGACTTTCAAAAAGCAAGCCGTGTAGATCTGTTATTAGGAACCGAAAATTTCTATCAAATTATCAGTCAGGAGAAAATTTAATTAGAGGCAAACGATCCTATTTTACAGGATACGAAATTCGGTTGGGTAATATCAGGTCAAGTGCCTAGTGACATTAATGAAGTTAAAACATAATAATACAAATGATTTAATATTATTAAATATATAAAATTTTTGTTAGAATACGCAAGCTTAGAACATAAGATGGAGGTAATTGATGAAAAGGAACAGGACAAGTCATTATGTTGTTATTTACCTCATCACGTGGTGTACAATGAAAATAGCACTAATACCAAAATTAGGATGGTATTCGATGCATCGGGTGTAAGTTTAAAATATTGTCTATTAAAAGGACCAACTATTCAAGATGAATTAATATACATATTTTAGCCAGGTTTCGCACACATAATTTTGTTTTAATTAGTGAAATTGTAAAAATGTACCACTAGATTAGAGTCACAGTAGAGGATAAAAGGATCAACAAATATTATGCGTGAAAATCCAGAAGATCCCGTTTGGACATTTAAATTAGAAACCATAACGTATGGTACTTTACCAGCTAGTTTTTTAGCTACTGCTTGTCTGAAAAGGTTAGCTGATGAAGAAAAAATAAATTATCCCAAGGTATATGAAGTACTTGGTCGTGATTTTTACAGGGATGATTTACTTACAGGAACGCAATCGAGAGAAGAAACTGTTAATTTACAAGGTGAACTTATTGCTTTATTGAAAAAAGCTGTAATGGAGTTGTCAAAATGGGAGTCTAACATACCTGATCTATTAGTTATTATTGAGGTGGACATAATGCCCATGCACTCAGACCTGTTGGTCCATTTTGCGCATACCTGATTTATTAAGTGGTAGTAATGATCATATGAAGGTAAAATTAAAGGAAACAGAAGATCTATTAAGTTCAGATTCAAAGTTAAATAGGGTTTTAGGTATATTATGGGAAGCCCAAAGTAATGTCATTAAATATAATGTGTTAAAGGTGTTCAAACAGTGACTATTATTGCAAATTCAGAATTTCCGTTATTAACGTAATGTTCTTCATTAAATAAAATATTGCGTATTACGGCATATTTTTTACGATATGGGGATCGTATAAAAAAGGATTAAAATAGTGGGTAAAAGTGGATTACTTAGAATGGGCGGAAGATTAAAAAATGCGGCGTCATTAGAGACCTTTCAAAAACATCCATTGATTGTACCAACCGGCTAAGAGGGCGTTTACTAAATTGTTACTGTGTAAAATGAGCATGAAAAGTTATGTCACAGCGGTCCATAAGGCAAAGATATTGGTCATTAAATGCAAGGAATACAATTAGAGGAATTATATACAATTGTCTGCGTTGTTTTTAACAACGACCTGCCAAGCGATAGAGTTGAACTGTCTCGAGCTTTTAAGATAAGCGGAGTAGATTTCTGGAGTCCAGTGATGTTAAAGAGTAGTTTAAGAAAAAATGCACCTTTAAGAAGGGCTTATGTTAGTGTGTTTGTGTGTTTTTCAATTAAGGCTGTGCATATTGAGTTGGTAAATGGATTCAGTACGCAGGAATTTATACAAGCATTACAGAGGTTTGTGGCTAAGAGAGGAAAAATTAGTGTGATATACTTAGATAATGGCACAAACTTTCATGGTACAGATCGCCAGTTAGAAAGTGTATGAGTTATTTCATTCAAAATCTCGTAAAAAGAAGTTATTTGAGCATTTTACAAATTAACGTATTAAATGGAAGTTTATACCTCCGCGAGCTTCACATTTTGGGGGGTTAGGGAGTCTACTGTTGAAAGCATGAAAGGGTTCATAATAAGAATACTGGGCGAATCGCATTTAACGTTCGACGAAATTTGCACCATGCTTATACTCGCTGAGGCTTGTCTGATCACACGTCCTCTCACTCCTTTGTCGTCTCGTCCAACCGACTTGACTGTGTTAACTCCTGGTCATTTTTTTAATTGGTGAAGCATTGACTACAATACCAGAGAAAAACGTAAGTGATACTCTGTCAAATCGATTATACCGTTGGCGTAGAGTAAATAAGTTTTCTCAGCAAATATGGAAACGCTGGAGTAGCGAATATCTTTCACAACTTCAAACTTGCTACAAGTAGGCAAAAGAGAAGGGACCTAAACTGTCAGTGGATTCCATCGTCTTAATAAAAGAATAAAATCTCAGTCTCTAGTTTGGCGATTGAGCCGAGTATTAAGTTTTATATGTGGTAAAGATGACATGATCCACACAGCAAGGGTAAAAACGCCTTTGGTGAATACTTACGAGCAATTTAAAAATTAAGTCCATTGCCGAATGAAGTCGATTGATTTATTAAAATTTATGTTTGTCAATTTAAATGTTTTTGTAGTATGTTAATTATTTTAACATGTTTTTTTTTTTAATTTGTATTGTGTTTTATATATATATATATTTTGCTTTGTTAGATAAACTTTATATTGATTTTGATTAATCAAAGTGGGCGGCTTGTTTGATATTGAGAAAAAACAGAAGATACTTTTGTTATAAAATAGGTAGGGGGTGGTGCAACATAGGTTTTGTATTATAAGTTAGTCGTAAACCAGATATCGAATGATAAGTCCGGCGCAACTAAAGTTTTATTCAGATATGAAATATAAGATATATCCTAAAAAAAATACAGTCTACATTAAAAACAAAAAATAAAGTGTTCTTGTCAAAAATAAAATACCATAAGCTACCGGCCAATGATAATTCATAGATTGAAATTCATTTAATAATTTTTAATTGTTAATATTTCTAGAGAGTAATAACACTTCATTAGAAAATTTAACTTATACATTACCACATGAAAATTTCGAAGAAGGTACATATTTATTTTGCTATATGTCAATTAATAGATTGAATTCATTAACAGATTTTTAATTGATAATATTTATAGAGAGGAATGAAACTTCTTTGGAAAATTTAACTCATGCATTACCACATGAAAATTATGAAGAAGGTACATATTTAGTTTGTAATATAACAATTCATAGACTGAATTCATTAAATGATTTTTAATTGTTAATATTTCTAGACAGTAATAAAACTTCATTGGAAAATTTAGCTCATACATTATTAGATGAAAATTATGAAGAAGGTACATATTTATTTTGTAATATAACAATTCATAGATTGAATTCATTAATCATTTTTAATTGTTAATATTTCTAGAAAGTACTAATACATCGTTGGAAAATTTAACACATACATTACCACATGAAAATTTCGAAAAAGGTACATATTTATTTTGCTATATGACAATTAATAGAATGAATTCATTAAATGATTTTTAATGGTTAATATTTCTAGACAGTAATAAAACTTCTTTGGAAAATTTAGCCCATACATTATTACATGAAAATTTTAAAGAAGGTACATATTTATTTTGTATTATGACAATTCATGAATTGAAATTCATTAATCATTTTTAATTGTTAATGTTTCTAGAAATTAATAGAACTTCGTGGGAAAAATTAGCTCATACATTATTGCATGTTAATTATGAAGAAGGTACATATTTATTTTATAATATAACAATTCATAGATTGAATTCATTAATAGATTTTTTTGTTAATATTTCTAGAGAGTAATAACACTTCATTAGAAAATTTAACTCATACATTACCACATGAAAATTTCGAAGAAGGTACATATTTATTTTATAATATGACAATTCATAGATTGAATTCATTAATAGATTTTTAATTGATAATATTTATAGAGAGGAATGAAACTTCTTTGGAAAATTTAACTCATTCATTACCACATGAAAGTTTAGAAGGAGGTATATATTTATTTTGTAATATGACAATTCATGATTGAAATTCATTTATACTTTGAGATGTTATGATAACTGAAATATTTATTATTATTTGAATTTAATTTAAAAATTGAAAGATTACTAGTATAATTAATTCTTATATTTAATATTATTGTAAGGTAATTCGTGAACATTATATTAAATTCAATATAATTAATAAAATAATGAAAGGAGATTTAAATGCATATGGAAAAAATATATATTTTCCATAGATAAATAACATACAAAATATTTCACAATTTCATACTAGGTCAATAAATTATTATCGTCCAGTCATTTTAAAAATGATATCATCTCCTTATTTATAAGCTAGTTAAATACATATGTTGCCATTTTAAAAACTAAAATAAGTTATAAGGGATAATTTTAAAAAGTTATTAATAGTTGATAAATCAAGATATAAATGTAAAATTCAAAAATTTTGTTTTTAATATTGTATTTATTTTGGAAGTAACGTTTTATGATAATCTTTTTGTAAATATTAAAAAAAATGATTAACGAGTATGTTTTTAACCTTTGTGTAGTTCATAATCATTAATATTTTTTAATATTTATATCAATTATAAACTATTAACTTGAATCTTAACTATTAATCATTTTATGTTTAAAAATGGAATATTTATCAGTAAGAGTCGAGTTTCAAAATAGTAAACCTTTACTTGATTTTAATATTATAAATATTTAAATACCCGTGTCATAAATAATGTAATAAAAAATTAATTTAATAAAAGCTGCCACTTTTATTAAAAATAAATATCACTCAATATGATTTATAAGTAATTTAAATAATTATTTTTAAGTTGACGCAATGAAATCAAATTTAGATGACAATTTATTAGTCAACATTCCTAAAAAGATGAGAAAATTCAACACGTACCTTTAAATTCATTTTTACGTATGTAAGTTATCACAACTAAATATAATTATTAAATTTTTCAAATAAAATATATTATCGATTTATATTAAAAGTATTGTTTATGTAAAATACCTCATTAATTATGTTTTTTTTTAACATTTTTGAATATTATTAGTTTTTACCTTATACCACTTATACGGTTTAAATTAAAATAAAATATTATGAGATCTAAAAAAAATGAAAGTATAATAAATTATTTTTATTATTATGTGGTGTTTACATCCAAAAAAAGTTCATTCATATTCAGAAGGATATTATCTGTTTGATTCATCCGTGTGCAAACAAATTACAATATGAAACATATCTGACACGGCACCGCACCTGCTTCAGGCGGACGCTCTCACTCGTGTCTCTCGATATCAGTGATCCACCTATTAATATGACAATCTGTGGTCATCGTGCACTTCCTTGTCCTTGACACCGTGACAAGGCCACTGCCGACTGTGAATTACTGTTATGGGTTCTGACGATCACCTTAACTTTATACAACGTTTCGACGTCTGTTGCCTCGACCTTTCCGACGCTTTATACTGTTAATTTAAAACATTCATTTTACTGGTACTCTTGGCGTACGAATGAGCTGTGTCATAAGTGTATTCATTTTTCTTGTTATTTAAATTGGTAGTCCGAACTATGTATAAATATATTTCGTTATTGTTTGTGACTTCTCATTTGATGCGTAAATTGATTGTGTCGGTTACATTATTGGTAAAACTCTATTTCCTCCTAGAACGTTCATGCCTTCAACTATCGTATTATTTGGATACGCGCCATATCATAAAACAGATTTTGTCTTATATTCTTGTGGATCTGAGCCATTTTTCATGGAAAACCATTCAAAATGTAAACATTGAAATTCTTCCATTTGAAAATAGATTAATATTAAGGGCTAATTTTCTAAGCTACCAGAGCCTAATCTATGTTTAAATTTCGAACGTCTATCTTAAAAGTAAAAAGAGATACGTAAAAATTGATAAAAACGGCTACGAAATTTTTATTTCGTACATGTTTATAAAATCTAACATAAAAAACTGAATTAATTTTTAGCTAAATACTAGCTTAGTATTCATCTAAAAATTATGTTGAAAATGGGAGAAAGAGAATTTAAAGAAAAATAAATGGATAACGTCCAATTTATATTTTATGCCTCAATAAAACAATATACTAGTTAAGAGCAAAGTTTCTCATATGAGTAAAATTGAAGTTTACGTTTTAAAAAGATAGAGCTAACTTGTCACAATGTAGATTTTACTATTTTGACATTCAAAAGCAATAATTTTAATGGAATATATGATATTATTAATATTCTCTAATGTAAAAACTGTAAGCATTTCTTATGTACATAATTTAATTTTATCTTAGTTGAAAAGAATAATGTAATATTATCTTATTGAACTGTAATTTAGTATTATTTTATTTGTTTACGAATTTCGACAATTTTTTTTTAATTTTGATGATTATTTTTGTTGGGGTGTTTTCTATCCATGTATGTTGACGCATTTATATGCTAATAAATAAGAAAAAATATCAAATATAATTATAAAAAAATAAAAATAACAAATAATTTAATTTATATTCACTGGATGAAAATTTAATATTTGACTGTAGTAGAAATTTTCTTTCAAATGGTTAATATGTTAAGTAAAAAGATTATTACAAGTATATAGTTTAATTTTTTAACTGCGTATACCAATGGGTAAAAATACTTTGTTTTTTGTCTCGCGTACTTTTTTCATAAGAACCATCTAAAATACGGTTATTTCCCGACCGTACTCTTCGTCCCGTTTAAGTATAAAAATTCTTATGATTCTAAAAAATAATTTATAGCTGATAAATAAATATTAAATGTAACTAAACGAAATCAAAATTGTTTTCCAATTAAGTATTTATTTTGTAATCGAGTGGTCTATGATAAACCTATTACCCTTGTAGCGACCATGGAACGATCGAGAATCTTCGTGACAGATAGGCAACACAAAATGTTCTCGATCGCGCCCATAAAAGAATATTCTAGAACACTACACACTATAAAACGGCGCGACATCAATCAATCTCGACCAATTAGTCACTAGTCAGTTCGCCACAAGTACACAGTTAGTACACGTAATGCGTGCGTATATTGTAAATATTCTAAAAGTGTTTAAATAATAAACTGTCTGTCATTTTTGTCTTTTTTTACGTATATCGGTGTTTTTATTTATTGTTTAATAAATACGCGAAACACCAAACCCTAATATGATTTTTAATAAAAATAAAATTAATATTTAAAAAATATTTTTATTTATTAAAAATATAATTTGACATCAAAAATAAATTAAAATCAAAATTGTATAATCAACGGTAAATCAATATAAGCTAAACATCAATCAATTACAATTTTTACAAAAAAATATTAAATAATTATATTACTCAGTGGCGGCTCGTGGTTTGGATGACGGGACGATCGCACCCCCACTAAAATTAATTAAAAGAAGAGAATTAATTTTATATTCTTAATTCTACATTTTTATTAAAAATGCAAATTTTTAATCGTAAAAGAGTTATAATACATTTGTCGTTAGCTAACATTAAAGTAAAATATTAGTATATTACTATATTGGTAATTTATATTTAGAATTACTGCGTGTATGCACGTCGTTATCTTCGGTTGTTATAATAGTATAATCGCTATTATTATTTTCATTTCTATTTCCTACCTTTAAAATAATGAAATATATATTGTGTTTTATTTATTTAATTATTTTTTTTAATTAATTTTTTTTTTTGTGTTTTACTACTTTTTCTCAGCTCTCACCGAACCTATTCCTTTCGGCAATACGTCAAAAGATCACAGATCGTATTTAGTCAAAGACAATACCTCAAAAATTGAAAAAAATTTGGGAAATCTCCAAAAAAATTACAAATTTAAAAAAAGCTAATTTTTAACATTATTTTAGTTTTAGATTCGATGCAAAACTGAGAAGGTATTAATTTTACCATGATGTTTTTATTATTTTTTTTTGTGTCTGACACTGTTTTGTGTCTGAGCTGTTTTTCTCAGCTCTCAATAGACCGATTTTTCTCAACGATACTTCAAAAGATCACAAATCGTATACAGTTGAAGACGTTTTCCATAAAAAGAGAAAAATTTTGCTCTCGTTCCACGTAAATAGTGAAAATCCACCATGATGAAAATGGTTATCATATTCAAAAATATTCTATTTTTGTGTTAAAATTCTTGGTATTGTCTTGAAATTTATTTTAATTTACCTTGTAATGAAGTACACTGATTTTCATGAATATTATATAAAAGTAATTGACATAAAATAATATCATTTTGTATATTTTTTTATTAATCTGACCCTTTACCTGCCTACAGGGGGGATTCAAAATGACAACTTTTTCACAATAAATTAACTTTTTCAACTTAATTTTTGAAAATGTTCCGGAAATACTGATGCTTTTATGTATATATATATTAAATTAAAGATTATGTAATATACTTTAGTACGGAAAAAAAAATTTGAAACTTCATGGTGAAAATGTAGGCTATTTTTGTGTTAAAATTTTCGATTATGTATTTAATTTTATTTTAAAATACCTTACAAAAATTTTTGAGTTAGAAAAAAATTTTTAAATCATTTAATTTTTATCTCATTAAATTCAATAACTTTAATAAATATCAAGGACCCCATCACTGTAGTCCCCTCTCGTTTTGAAGAAATTTCTCATTCATATTAATGTTTTTTTACTATGTGAATTTTTTTTTATGGTTCTCATTTATTTATTGATTGATTCATAAATTATACATAACAATTTAAAAGGCATTTTGATAAATTATTACATGAGTATACACTAAAATAATAAAATCTAGTAAAAATTAGTTTTTTTTCTAACTTTGGGTACTAATGGGTTGAATAAAAGAAATTTGTCATTTGACAATAACAAAATAAAGTTACGAATGCCAAATTCAATAAATATTTTAAACTGATGCTAAGGTTTGTAATACTTAATAACTATTCATAGAAATTATAGAATTCTAATAAAATTGTTTTTAACATTACAAAGTTACCTATCTCATGATGAATATATAGCAGACCTGGACGACTTAACAAATCTTAAGCAGACGATGAATGGCGTGGAATACACACGGAATATAATTACGTAAAAATATATTTGCTATGTACGAAATGCATATGTAACCAGATGTGTTTAATATGCTTTACTATACTCCATAAAAGGGTACAACCTTTTCACAGAAGAAAGCGCAGCGAGATCAAATAAAATTGAATTCTTTTGTATTAATAAAAGGATGTGTATATCACAAACTTTAAGCAAATCACTTATATGTGGTTTCACATACGGAGCCAAGATAACTACCTTTTAATTAGTAGTAATTTTTGACACTTAACAACACTAGTATATATTGATTAACATAGAAAATTTTATTTTTTATTGGCGCAACAGTAACATTGTCATCTTATAAGTTTTATTAATGAATTTTCTATTGATTCTGAACTCAATTAATAAAAATATTTTTATCTTTAAACATTTTTATTGTGTGCCTTATATTAAGTTCTTGGTAATCATTAAAATGTTAAATTATTTCTACAGTTTTGATGTTTTGATTATTTTTAAGAAAGTTAACAATCAGTCCAATAAAATTGTATGTATAGGTACAAGTTTCAGACGCGTGTTTAAAACTTTTGAGAAAATGATTAAATTTTTCTATCACGGTAGACATGTTAATAATTTGTTTGCTTATAATATCATTAAAAATCATTTAATGAGCACAAAAAGGAGATCTGTAGAGATATAAAACATAGAAATACCGTCTACCTAATATATATTAACACTAGTTCAGATGGGTGGGCGGCCTAGGGACGGAATTATTTACACATACACAAGTGCGTTACATTAGCATATTAGAAATTGGAAAAAAATATTCAGTATTATATTCTTTTTTATGTACAATTTTATATAACTCCCTTTACCCTAAGAAAATAGTTTTTCTTCCTCGGGTGTTGGCGTAACGTTAGCACCCTAAGAAATCTACCTCAGCACCCGCATATGTAAATTTTAGACTTTTAGAATTTTAGAACTAATTTGAATCTGTTACAAAATTTATGTAATTAAATAGTTCAATGTGTTCAATCATTAATAGTGCAATTTAGAAAATTAGAATATTTACGTATTAATATAAACACGTTAAATACTTATAAAATATTAACAATCTTTTTATATATTTATTATTTATTAAGCTTTTAACAATATTTAACCTGTAACTTATAATTAAAAAAAAAAACATTTGGTATTCCTTCTTCTTTTTCCTCACCTTAATCCCAACTACTTGAGGTCGGCTACCCTTATCTTAAATTTTCACTTGACATGAGCCTAAGTTTTGTTCAGGACTCCCATACTTTTTAACAAAAATTTTTCTTCCGGCTGTCGACCTGACGCAACCTCATTAGTCGCCTCTTACGACTGACAGAGGGGCCGTAGAAATATTTTTATCCCCTACCCACAAGGAAAACATTTGGTAATACTATTATTATTTTAATTAGAAAAATAAAACAAATAGTTTCCATGAAACCAAACCCTGCATAATTTTATTTTATATCTTGTTTTTGAATATTAAAATTATCTGGAAAGCTTGTTGATGCAGTTAAATCTGTTAAAATAATTTTTTTTTAATTTTAATAAAAATATTACTGCACTCATTTTTACATTATCGTATTCAAGAAAAAAATGTTTTCCCTGAATAAAAATAAAAATAGTTACTATTAGACTGTATATCTTATATCTGATTGAACAGGTTTTTGGTTTTTCTTAATTTTAAATTTAAGTAAAACTAAGAACATTTTTAGATCAAATTTTTATTTGTTTTAGCCACAATTATACGATAAGAAGGTACGTTGCCGACTAAAATTTAAGTGGTGATCAACGACCGTCCACGTACATGTTATTGATAACGATAGTCGGTCCTAACAAACGAAATGCAATAATGTGACCAGGGCATCATATTCACATATAGTGGTGATTTTGTCACCTCCACCATGTAAAGATGTTTAAGTAGATAACCGTGTATTGTCAGTAGCTCACATTTGGTATCTTCAGTGCTTTCAACGCTGGTCACTTGAGTCGTTATTGATATAGTGTTTGTGGGGGGGGGGGCTAGGCTTCGTTTTGCAAGTCGGGAGGCGTGGAGGCTTGTCCAGGCGTTCGCCAAATCCATCTTTGAAAAGAAGGAGGAAGTGGAACGCCTGAGGCACATGTAGCCACGCCGCCCGGTACAGGAAAACCTGAGGAGCTGGTTTAGGCCGGTGCCTTAGGTATTCTTGTTTTATGTTTCGTGAGTTATTAGTCCCCTCGTAAAGTCCTGCCCGCACCTCCACGTGGTGCAACCCAGGCAACGGACCCTACTCTGGGATCCGGCTAACGGGGGAAGCCACACCACGTTGTGAATAAGCTTTTGATTAATTTCGATCTGAATCACAACGTTTTATAGACGGCGTGGACTGCTCTGAAGTAATGCCTCACGGCAGTTCCAGAGCGGTCCACAATTATGGCGGTCGTGGAAAAATAAAAGACTTTGTTTTGCTCTCTAGTTTAGTTATATTAAACTATTTTTTATTTAAAAGAACTACTATCGGTAAATAATTGTTTATTATCCGATGGAAATCACATTATTTTACAAAACCATTATTGCGTTAAATTTTACAATGTAACCAATTATAACATTTAATTTAATTTTCACTTTGACATTTTTTTAGCTTAAATTAAATACCACAAATTTTCAACTATATTTTTGTAACGTTTATTACAGTAATTGGCAGAGTTATAAGAAATATCAGTTGTAAAACGTATTATTTTTAACATTAATTATTGCAGCAGAATTTCTTGATCTAAATAAATATTCTTAAAGAATTTGATTATTAACAGTAACCCGAATACTAGTGTTATGTTTAAATTTTATAATATTTTGTTTCATCTTGTAAATGCAGGTCGTTAATACATTTTTATACATATGAACATATGATCGAAAAAAGTATTTTAAATTTCTAATGCAGTGCAATCTATTTATTGTGAATTGGTTATTTTAGGTATTTTCAACTAGATTGCATCACGTATCATGGTCCTATTGCTATATCAATAACGGCTCAACAGTTAACCTAAATGTCAAACTTGTCCTTATAACCGAATCGAAGTTATATGTCTTTGATAATGTTATCAAACTAATATTTATCTTTAATTTTATACCGCCGTTAATGTTAACTTCCTGTAGTACTACACGTGCATAATTTGCTGTGCTAATATAGTGTTTTAATTTTTAATTTCTATGAGCTATGTTTTTGTAATATTTTAGCTAATAATTCATCTCAATTCGCTTATATTATTGCAAGTATGGTAAAGGAACAGTACAGAGATACGGATGGATCACGAATTATGTATGTACAATTATAAATATATTGAAATATAATTTATAGAAGTACTTATAGACATGTATGTGTTTGTAGATCCAAAATAAGCTTTACTGTTGATAATCCTCAAGATATTCAAAGAAAATCCCATATTTGCATAAATACTAGAAACTTATATGCTATAAATAATAACAGTACCACTAGAACACCGCATCCTTATGGAGTACTTGATCACAAACTGGTTTGATATATTAATATTACTTTTGTCTTGTTTATAATATAAAATATTATTCAAAATGATATTAGGGTGTCAATCAAAAAGACGCAACATGTCAAACATGTAACAAAGGATTAAATGACTGTCCTGGACATTTAGGATTTATCGATTTGCAATTACCAGTTTTTCATGTTGGTTTCTTTAGTTCAGTAATAACTATTTTGCAGACAATATGCAAAGTAAGTAAATGTTTTGTACCAAACTAAATTTTTAAACAAATATAATAGTTATCCTTATTATTATGTTTCTTTTGTAACCTTAAAGGATAAAAATTACTTTATGATAAAATACTGTAAATAATTTTTATTTTAGAATCCATTTTGTGCCAAAGTTCTTCTTAGTGAAGAAGATCGAATGTTCTTTTACACCAAGTTACGAAATAAAAATTTAACATATACAATGCGAAAAAAAGTATTTAAAGAAGTACACGCTAAAGCAAAAAAAGTTCAAATATGTCCATTTTGTAATGAAATTGTTGGTCAGGTTAAAAAAAGTGGCATTTTAAAAATTTCTTATGATCGATATAGATATAAGAAACCTGGCTCTGAAGCAGAATCTAAATTATGTAAAAAAATACATTTTTCTAACATTATTACTTGATTCAATAGAGTATACAGAATAATTGTTTATCGTAACTCAATCAATTATTAATAGAATAAAAATAATTTTGAAATTTTTTTTGTTACTATAGTTAAATTCTAGTTTAGAACTATTAGTTACATTTAGTTCTCAGATTATTAGCTATTTAATACTTTTAAGTTCATACCTTATTCATTATAAGGGTGTTAACTATGTTTTATCAATAAGAAATACATATTTAGAATTTAATATAACATTCTTTTTAGTATGTTTATATTATGGTAATTTATTAGGTATAATATTATGAGTTAATATTTATAAATACAACTACTTGCAAGACAGAAAGTTATAAATTAGTATAAATGTTAACTTACAACATTATGTTTTACTAACATACATTAAGCATTAATGTTGATAAAGTCTTAATTGACCATAAACTGTGTACCTGTGTTCCAGTGAATAGCAATATTGTAAAAATCAATTTGCTACAGGTTAGTATTATCTTTCACAAATTATACATGTATTATAACTCAAAAATTTAAAACTTTAAAATGATATATCTAATATACAAATGAAGTTATATTGAAAATTCAAAATATGTATTTCTATTAAAAAAAAAAGTTGACATCCATACAAGGCGTAAGAGATGAACTTAAAAAGTATTATGTAGCTAATATCCAAGAAATATCCAAGAACAATATGTAACAAAAATAAAATTGTATTATTTTTGTTTTGATAATAATTGAATGGGTTGTAATAAAAAAATGATCCTTTACATGTAATCTTAATAATATTAGATAATTTTTTTTTAGGCGCTCTGAATGATGTAATAAAATTTAATAAAGAAGTAGAGTCTATGAGAAATTATTTGTTTAATGAAAACCTAAATCCTCAAGAAGTTTTACGTTTATTATTATCTATACCCTATGAAGATGTTATTTTACTAGGCATGAATCCTGAGCTATCTAATCCTGGTTGGTTGCTCATGACTAGAATGCTTGTGCCACCTAATTGTATACGCCCATCAGCAGTATCTGATATTAGATCTGGAACGTAAGATAAAAATAATTATTATTAACAAATATATTGCAAATTATGAAATAGTAATATTAATTGCAATGTAAAGTAATACATTACAATGTTATTCATTTTATATAGAAATGAAGATGATCTAACACTAAAATTATCTGAAGTATTGTTTATAAATGATGTGATAGTTAAACATAAGCAGTCTGGGGCAAAACCACAACTATTACATGAAGATTGGGAATACCTACAATTACATTGTGCTTTATACATAAATAGTGATTTATCAGGAATTTCTCGAACTATGATGGTACAGTTTTATCATTTGTTATAAAATATATTACAAATGTTAATATAAATATTATTTTTATTATATTATTGGGCAGTTAACTAGAATATAAGTGTAGCAGAGATGAGAATACTTAGATGAATAAGTGGAGTGACTAGAGAAGATATGATAAGGAATGAACATATAAGAAGGAATATAGGTATAGTGTCAATAAGATGAGAGAAAATAGACTTAGATGGTTTGGTCATGTTATGAGGAGAGAAGAATCGGAAGCTGTAAGAACAGTTATAGAAATAAATGTTGAAAGAAGAAGAGGTAGAGGAAGACCAAAAAAGAGATTGGGGATTGTTATTGAGAATGGCTGTTGTGTGCATAGATGATGTGGGAGATCGTGTTTCAAATTTTTAACAGTGTTTAATTGCTGGTACTAATTTTTAATGGAAAACTATTTCTAGCCAAAAAAAATTGCACGAGGTTGTGTGCAACGTCTAAAAGGTAAACATGGACGATTTCGTGGAAATTTATCGGGTAAAAGAGTTGATTTTACAGCTCGTTCTGTAATTTCTCCTGATCCAAATCTTAGAATAGAAGAGGTAAGCATTTCTTTTAAAAATGTATTAATATTGAAAATTACATAATTTTAATTACTTCTAGGTAGGTGTTCCTGTTCGTATGGCAAAAATATTAACATACCCTCAAAAAGTATGCCTAGCTAATATTGAACTAATGAGAAAGCTAGTTATGAATGGACCAGATATACACCCAGGGGCTAATTTTGTTGAACTTAAAGGGTCTAAGTTGAAGAAATATTTACGTTTTGGCAATAGACCAGCAATTGCTAAAGAATTAAAAGTAATGCAGTTAAAATAATAATTCAAAAAAATTTATTTTTCAATCATTATACATTTTGTTTACAGGTTGGTGATATTGTAGAGAGACATTTAGCTGATGGCGATATAGTATTATTTAATCGACAACCTAGTCTACATAGATTGAGTATTATGTGTCATCGAGCAAAAGTTCTTGAACACAACACCTTAAGGTATAAATTTAAATGAAAGTTAGAATCAACAATTTAAAATGTTTTTATTTTAGATTTAATGAATGTGTGTGTACTCCTTACAATGCAGATTTTGATGGTGATGAAATGAACCTTCATTTACCTCAAACTGAAGAAGCCAGAGCAGAAGCTGGATTACTTATGATTGTAAATTCATTATTAATTTGTTTTTCATATATTTTCTAACTTAAAATAATTAAATTAAACAAACAAAAATATTCTTAAAATTTAATATGTTTAATTTTAAATTTAACAATTAAGAAAAATAGTTCAAATATTTTTTTAAACATCCACACAGTTTTTAGTTTTTAAATATTATGGAGAGATATAAGTTTTATTGAAATGTGGTTAATTTAAATTTATTATTACTTTCTTCATTGGATGCTGGATGCTCTACCATTACAGAATGATTCTTTTAACACTAACCACTCAATTATTCTTAAAATAATAACTTTTCTATGAATTTTTTTTTCTTTTGTTAGTTTTATCTCCATTTACCTGTCATTGAAAATTTTTTATATTCATTCCTTAAGTATTATTGGGGTATCAACATTTTTTTTAATGGAAACATACATATTTAACTAGCTTGTACAATGGAAAATGATCTAATTAAAAAAATAACTGGACAATAACAACTTTTGGACTAGTATTTCAGAAATATTTTCATATTGATATATACAATGATATTATCATTTCAATCATCAGTTTGGTTAATTTTTTTTTTATAGATATTACCTCAACTTAAATCTCAAAGGTTTTATTTCTAAAATATGCAACTTGTTCACCAGTATGAGCTTAACTTGAGTAATAAGTACTTGTACTAAAATGTTACCAACCCATTCAAATTTTTTGTAAGAAAATAGCTAAATAATGGTTATTTCAAAGTTTAAAAAAAATAAGTTATATTTTTTATTGATGATAGAAAATATAAAATGTACTTTAAAAGACATAGTCTAATAAATCAAGTAATATTCAATAAAAAAAAATATATATCAACAAAATAATAATTTTATCAACATTTTTCGTGTTTGCAAGAATCATCTTACATATTTAACTAGCTTAAAAACAAGAAAATGACCAGTAGTTAACAATTTTTTAAACATTATTTTTTAAGTTAATAACAATTTCTTTAATGACTAAAAGAGAAGTTTGGATCTATTTATTTTTATCCCTATGTATTTATGAACCACACTACTACTCCTATCATAGTATTAAAAAGCTAATATTTATTATAATTACTGGTTCAAACATTGTTATCGAACAGTCACTTTTTTTAATTAGATGATTTTCTTATTTTTATGTTAGAGCTAGCATGTTACAATTAAAAACTTAAGTTAAAGGGATACATGGAAGATAAGACAAGATTTTTTTTTTGAAAACTAGAACATTAACTATTAACTTCTAGAAAAAATAAATTATAATATTTTTCATGTTCATAAAAATTGTAAATATTATATTTTATTTTAGAATAAATCTAATTTAGTTACACCAAGAAATGGTGATATTCTAATTGCGGCTACTCAAGATTTCATTACTGGTGCTTATTTATTAACTCACAAAAATACATTTTTAAATCAAAGAGACACTAGTAGACTTATTGGATGGCTTATGTCAGGTGATGATGTGAATATTGATATTACTTTACCACCACCTACTATAATAAAAGTTAGTATTTTATTAATGTTTTTAAAAATGCCATTAAAAATTAAAATTTTGAACTTATACTAAACAAATACAGACATAGTAGAAATTTATTATTATTGTTATTATTATTTCTTAAAAAAAAGTAAAAGAGATCACTTCCTTATTAACTCAACCACATATCTTTTAATAAATTTTATAAAAATAACATTTGAAGTTTATGAAATTGTAATAAGTTTTCAGGGTTGAATTAAAAAAAAAAATTTTGGTTAATTAAAAATGATCTAAAAATTGAAAAATATGAAAAAAATAAATTTTACTAATTATTCAAACTTAATGTTTTGCAATATAAATATAATATTTATAAGTTTAAGAGAGTGATATCAGTGCAAACTTAATAAACTTATATTGAAATAATTTTTTTTTTTTAATTAATATTTTTTATAATAAAAAAATTGAAAACCTTTCATTTTTTTTTAAGCCTTATAAACTTTGGACTGGTAAACAAATATTTAGTATCATTATGCGTCCAAGTAGTAAGTGTCCAATCAAAGCTAATTTACAGTGTAAAGGAAAATCATACACTAATAATCAAGAGTTATGTCATAAAGATTCTTGTAAGAATTTATTTAAGATTTAATAATAAATATAATATAATTAGTATAACTTAATTGTTATAAATTATTATATTTAGATGTTTTTATAAGAAATTCAGAATTGCTTGCTGGTACCATGGATAAAGCTACCTTAGGCTCAGGCAGTAAATCTAATATATTCTACATTTTGTTAGCTGATTGGGGATCAAATGCATGCTGTAAAGTAATGTGGCGATTAACACGCCTTACATCTTATTTTCTTATGTTAAGAGGTTTTTCTATTGGTATTGGTGATGTAACACCTAGCAATGATTTACTTCAATCCAAAAATGAACTTGTTATAAATGGGTAATTAAAAAAGTTATTTTAAAATTTGAACATGTCTAAGAAATTGCTTCTCTGTTAGAAATGCACTTTGTGAGGAGAATATTCGCTTAAGAAATGCTAAAGAACTGAAGTGTCAACCAGGATGCAATATGGATGAGACACTAGAAGCAAATATCTTGAAACAGTTATCTGGTATTCGAGATTCAGTCGGTAAAGCTTGCTTACAAGAACTTCATTCTACTAATGGTCCATTGATAATGGCCCTTTCTGGGTCTAAAGGTATGTTTTTAATAAATAATAAAATTAATTATGATTTAATAAGTAGAATGTAAATTGAATATTTAAATTTTTTGATAACATATTGTAGTAACACATAACTTCAGATAACATTATTTTATAGCAAACATACATTGTTTTGCATTTAAATAATTTATTATTACTTAATACTTTGGTATATAGGGTAATTAATTTTGGATGAGACACTCATTTTCTCAGAAATTATTGAAAATTTTTAATCTTGTTCAACAGTTGCTGCATGCTTTGAATAAAAAAAAAAAGAAGCGTAGCTACAACAGTCTGTATTATATCAAACAACAATGTTTCCATATAAACTCGTGTAAATGGTTCATATTCTTTAGGCATGCATATATAGTAACTTATAACTGGTATCTATGCTAGTGTAACTTTATTGATAATGATTCTAAAGTTCCTTTGAATTCGAGGACTGACCTTTAAGTTATCTGGATATTATTAAGTATCTTTAAAGCAGCTTCACTTTCTTTTCTTTCCTTCTTTCTGCCTAGTTTGTGGCTTGGTAACATAATCCTTGAAATAAACTTTTCCATTCCAAAGTATAGGCTGTGTTTGAGTTTCTCTAGCGTGACATAGCTTTTCTTATCCACACTTAAGAATAGAGTTTGCTCTTTAGAGACAACCTCTGTTTCATAGTGGTTTACCCAGATGGCTGTGTTCAGCCTCTAGTTTTGTTTCAAAGATTTTCTTAGAATCCTTGGTTAGTACTGGTATGTGAGTGACCAACTGTTTATACTCCAGATCTTAATATCTTAATAAAACAAATTCGGATTGTTCCTCATCTAGCAAGTCGGTGGGCGGTAGTGATGACAGGATACCCGCCGCCACTCCGGACACCGTTCGGTATGTGAATACAGTGCAGATCGCTGCCCGCCTCTGCACCCTGAGCAGAGCTCCTCAATTCTTGTGGAAATACTCAAGATTATCCGCTCAAACTGGAGATCCATACAGGAGGATCGAGTGTATGATGCTGACTAGAGTCTACGCCTCATCTCTTTCAAACCTCCCAGATTGGACATGAGGCCTGCCAGACTGTTCATGACTTTCTTCTGAGCCACACAGGTAATTTGCGGCCTGAACAATAGACGTTTGTCTACGTCCAAGCCCAGATAAGTAATGGAATCTTTAAGTGGGATCTCCACCCTCAGTACAACAAGCCTTGGAGGAATGGAACTTGTACCTGCCTATGAACAGGACCACTTCGGTCTTATCCAGGGCAAAGCTGAGTTCACTCCCCTCCTTCTAGATTCTGACGGTGACTACACTGAGGGCACAGTTCGCCCGGGATTCAGCTTCCTCGGCCGAGGCGCCTTCGGCTACCATCAGCGTGTAGATTACACTACATGCAATGGCATTGGAACGTGGAACACCGCATCATATGCGATGAACGCCGCCCGTTATGGATCTGATTCTTGGGCCAGCAACGTTCTCGTAAGCGAGAACCCGGTCGTTAAAGTACGACTGAGATGTGGTAGCACCCAAAACGCATCCAGCGCTCGGAGAATATGTGACTATTGCAAGGAGTTGAACACTTTTCGGATGTCCAGGCTCAGCGCCACTCTGAAGTCCTGCCCGTTCTCGGCTCTAAAGCATAAGTTTCTAAAAATCACGTCGTCCATGGACCTCCCCATCCTAATTTTTTATTTTTCTATCTATCATTCAATTTGTTTAAAAAATCTTATCATAATAATTAATATTGTAATAATATAATTTTTAAAGTAAATTTTATATTTAAAAAAACAAATGTTTTAGGATCAAATATTAACATTTCTCAAATGATTGCTTGTGTTGGTCAGCAAGCTTTAAGTGGCCATCGAGTTCCTGATGGTTTTGAGTCAAGATCACTACCCCATTTTAAACGATTTTGTAAGTCTTGGAGAGATATTTGTAGATTATCATTATAATTAATTTTTTTTAGCTAAAACTCCAGAAGCGAAAGGTTTTGTCGAAAACAGTTTTTATTCTGGCTTAACACCAACAGAGTTTTTCTTTCATACTATGGGTGGTCGTGAAGGTCTGGTAGATACAGCTGTTAAAACTGCTGAAACGGGATACATGCAGCGGAGACTTGTTAAAGTATGTCTTAACAATGTTTTTGTTTATTATTATTACAATTATTATATTAATATTAAATTATTGATGAGAGGGAGTTTTTATGATATAGTTTGGTCACCTTCTTCAACAGTTTATAACTTCTGTCGAGTTTAGGGAGCGCAGTTTATTGTTACTCAAATTTTTAAGTGTCCACCCATCCATGGTCTAGCAGCTTATCCTCAATTACAATATGTGAATAATATATCCAGTGCAATCACACTGACTACTTTATTTGTAGTCAGTTAAAAACTACTTTATTCTTATCACACTTAATTAGTACTTCTCCTATAAGAAGGGTAGTCAGTTTCAAATAATGGACTGTTTTTTTGTCCAATAAGAAAAATGTGCCTGCGATCAAGTACAAACCCCCTATCTACTAAGCCACATCAACTCTTTTTTTAAAAGTTTAATTAATATTATAAATTATTGTTAATTACATTATTTTGTTCTCTTTAGTCTTTAGAAGATCTATGTGTTCACTATGATAATACAGTACGAAATGCTTTTGGAGATGTTGTACAATTTGAGTTTGGTGGTGATTGTCTAGATCCAACCTACACAGAGGGTATTTTAATAAAAGGAAAGCTGAGTTGGGTTTAAGCTAAATATTATATCACTTTTATAGGAGATGGTGTTCCTGTTGACCTTAAACGAGTTTATTCTAATGTGATAGCAAATTATCCATGTTATGATGAATGTACATTAGATTCTAATGATATATTAAAAATAACCGAAGATGTATTGGCATCTGAAGATTTCAAAAACATAAGAAATGAATTTGTTGAAGAGTTGAGGTAAGTAAATGTTATAATTTTTTTAATATAATATTAATCTCAATTTTATTTTAGAAATTTTGGTAAAAGTTTATCTGAAAAAATGGTTGAAGTTAGAAAAAAATGGCTTAATCTAGAAATTTCCAAAGTGCAGCGAATAACTTCTACCCAGTTAATAAAATTTTATTTAACATGTCTTNATAAGAAAAATGTGCCTGCGATCAAGTACAAACCCCCTATCTACTAAGCCACATCAACTCTTTTTTTAAAAGTTTAATTAATATTATAAATTATTGTTAATTACATTATTTTGTTCTCTTTAGTCTTTAGAAGATCTATGTGTTCACTATGATAATACAGTACGAAATGCTTTTGGAGATGTTGTACAATTTGAGTTTGGTGGTGATTGTCTAGATCCAACCTACACAGAGGGTATTTTAATAAAAGGAAAGCTGAGTTGGGTTTAAGCTAAATATTATATCACTTTTATAGGAGATGGTGTTCCTGTTGACCTTAAACGAGTTTATTCTAATGTGATAGCAAATTATCCATGTTATGATGAATGTACATTAGATTCTAATGATATATTAAAAATAACTGAAGATGTATTGGCATCTGAAGATTTCAAAAACATAAGAAATGAATTTGTTGAAGAGTTGAGGTAAGTAAATGTTATAATTTTTTTAATATAATATTAATCTCAATTTTATTTTAGAAATTTTGGTAAAAGTTTATCTGAAAAAATGGTTGAAGTTAGAAAAAAATGGCTTAATCTAGAAATTTCCAAAGTGCAGCGAATAACTTCTACCCAGTTAATAAAATTTTATTTAACATGTCTTTCCAAATTTATGGTAGCAATAATTGAACCAGGTAGTTTGATTTCATTAATAATATAATATATATATATAATTATTATATTTTTATCTATGTTTTATTTTAATTCATTTGAATAATTAAAAAAAATAACTATTATTTAAGTTAAATATATAAATTATTTTATTTTATTTACCATAGATTAGTTTAGGGTTATTTTAATAATTGATCTTTTTTATCTTAACGTTGTTATAATTTGTTGATAATTTATATGAATTGCCATTTTCAACACTTTTTTATTAATATTATTGTGTTATAGTTATGTATTTATTCAACCAAATTATATTATAAGGCTTTTCTTCTAGAAAATGAGACTGAATATAAGTTAAAATAGAGTCGATCATTAAATTGGTATTATGATTTAAATATATTTAATATGCTATAATAATTATTAATCTTAAAATTTGTTTTTTTAATTTAAAATTTTCAGTTATTGTCTGTAACTATTTATATCTAGTTATATTAAAATTATACCTTTAAATCATTAGTTTTATATAATAGGAAAATAGTATCCATATAACCCTACAAACAGTCTAACATTGATATGTACATTTAACAAAAGATAATAAAATGTTAAAATTTAAAAAAAATTTTTTTTTAATACTCCAGAAATCTTATTTTTGAGCAAAATAAATAAATATGATTAATATTTATTTTCTTAAAAATTAATTTTAAATATAATTATCTAAGAAAACATGTAAAAATTACCAAAGTAACCCCAATTTACAATATAAAATTATAATCTCGAGATAATCTTTTTATAATCTTTTTAATGAATTATCATAATCTTCTTCTTCTTCGCCTTAATCCCAACTACTTGGGGTCGGCCACCGCCTAAGTTTTGTTCAGAATTCCTCATACTTTTTTGCCAAAGATTTTTACGCTGGCTGTCGACCTTGACACAACCTTATCAGTTGCCTCTTACGACTGGCAGAGGAGCCGTGGAAGTATTCTTATCCCCTATCCATAGGGAAATAATGATTTATACTAATCATATTGATTATCTTTAATACTATCAAAGTAATATTTGTACCTAATAAAATAATTTATTTTTGTAAAGGAACTCCAGTAGGTGCAATAGCAGCTCAAAGTATTGGTGAACCTGGTACACAAATGACATTGAAAACTTTTCATTTTGCTGGTGTTGCTTCAATGAACATAACACAAGGAGTCCCTAGGCGAGTGCAATTTACATTCAAAATATTTTCTTAGAATAATAAATTAATAAATAATATTTCAATATTTATAACTATATAATAGTCAATACTAATTGTTTAATTATACAACAGGATTAAAGAGATTATCAATTCAAGTAAAAATATTAGTACCCCTATTATTACAGCTTATTTGGAAAATGATAAAGACAAAGAGTTTGCTAGAATTGTCAAAGGTCGCATTGAACAAACTAATTTGACAGAAGTAAAATTTAAATTTTTATAAGAAATTTTTAGTAAAAAATTTTTTTTAATATTTATTTCAGGTTTGTAGCTATGTGGATGTAGTTCTTGAAAATAGTGAATGTTATTTATTAATACATGTTGATATGAACCGAATTAAGCTTTTACAGCTTGAAGTAACTATTGAAAGTATCAGAGATAGGTATGATAAACTCAGTTTATTTTTTACTTAATAATAATTAAAAAACAATTTTTATTAGTATTTTATCAACTGCTCGTATTGGAATCAAAGCAAATCAAGTAAACATTGACAATAACTCTTGTATAAGTATTTCATTACCAACAAAAGGAGCTCAAACAATTAGTGGTTGGATAAATGTGTATATGCAAAACTTACAAAAAGTCATTATAAAGGTATAAATTATAAATTATTTGATATAATGTTTTCATAATTATAAACTTTTATAATTTAGGGTATAAGTCAAGTAACACGAGCTGTTATTCATGAAGAAGATGAAGGTGGTGAAATTCGATATAAGCTTCTTGTAGAAGGTGATAATTTACGTGAAGTTATGGCTACACCAGGTGTAATTGGTAAAAAATGTACTAGTAATAATACATATCAAGTATGGAATGCATTAGGTATTGAAGCAGCTAGGTATTGTTCTAGTCTTACTATGATTGTTTTTTAAATATATTCATTTAAGTATTTTATAGATCTACTATTATATCTGAAATTGACAGTGTAATGGGAAATCATGGGATATCTATTGATCCTAGACATCCAATGCTCATAGCTGATCTTATGACTAGTCGAGGTGAACTTTTAGGTATTACAAGGTTCGGATTGTCCAAGATGAAAGAATCTGTTTTAAATCTTGCTTCTGTAAGAAAATTACTATTTATTTTTATTATTTTTTTTTTCAATTTTTCATATATTTCTTATAGTTTGAAAAGACTTCAGATCATTTATTTGACGCTGCTTATTATGGACAGACTGATACAATAAATGGAGTATCTGAAAGTATCATCATGGGCATTCCAGTAAATCTTGGTACTGGGTTCTTTAAATTGATTTATAAATATCCTTTTTATACAATTTTAAAAATATAATTTATTTTATTTTAAATGTTGAATGAGATTTAATGCTATTAGAATTTATGTATTAATAAAATTTGGATTATGTAAGACACAAAATTTATTGCAAGTGATTGAAGTGGAGAGAAGCGTCTGGTGTCTTATGCGATAAAAGAATACCAATAAGGCTGAAAGGTAAATTTTATAAGACTGTAGTGAGACCAGCTATGATATAGTTCAGAGTGTTGGGCGGTTGATAAGAAAGTAGAGCAGAAAATGAGTGTAACAAAGATGAAAATTCTTAGATAGATGAGTGGAGTGACTAGAGAAGATAGGATAAGAAATAAGCATATAGGAGGGAGTATAAGTGTAACGTCAATCGTGGTTAAGATGAGAGAAAATAGACTTAGATGGTTTAGTCATGTTATTAGGAGAGAAGAATCGAAAGCTGTTATAGAAATGAATGTTGAAGAAAGAAGGGGTAGAGGAAGACTAAAAAAGAGATGGAGGGATGCTATTGAATGCGATTTGAGGACAGCTGATGTGAGTGTAGATTATATGGTAGATTGTGTCAAGTGGAAGTTTAGGATAAGGGTGTAGGATAAGTAATTGGGATTAAGGCGAGGAAGAAGAAGAATAAAAATTGGATTATCAAAAAAGATTAAAAATATATTAGATATATTGCCTTTTTTATTGGCATAACTTACTTAATTATACATCTACTTTAAAGTTATATAACAAAATTAAAAATATAGATACAAACTACAAATTAAGCTTATTTGAAAAGTACTTATGTATACTTTTAAATGATAAAAAAACAAAATTTCTGATCCTCTAGGTTAGAAATTTTTTAGAAGCTCATAGAAGGTTAAATAACATAATAAAATAACAAAAATACAAAGCAAAAATGTAAAAAAAAATTCATTTGATAGCACTATTCAAAAACTTTGAAAACTTTTTTTTTTTTCTTAATTTGAAGTTTATACCTACAATTTTGACTTTTTTTTACAAAACTTTAAAATAGAAGTATACATGTATTAAGTATGATAACAAGTTATCATACTTAATACATGTATATATATATAGTGTCAGGTTTAGTAATGATTGTACAATAGCACAAACAAAGAAAAATTATGCACTTTTAAAAAATCATGTTTTTTATTATATGTAACAAATAATTATTGCACTTGGCACTGAAAGACATATATTCAGCATTGAGTATATTTTATACAAAGTATATATAGGCATTTTATAAATATTGTTGAAAGGTTTATATGTATTTTTATAAGAAAATATATGTTAAATAAGTTATAAATTAATAAAAGTCCATGTATAAATGGGCTTTTCAACTTATTAGGTAGTTAATGTAAACTTGAAATATATTTTATTAAAGATTTTCCTTAGTTTATTAGTAGATTAAGACCAAGAATAATAACAAAGATTTACCAAAACAATCTTTCTTATTTGATGATCCAGAACTACACGAAAAAGAATGTTATTGGCAATAGTTTAATTTCATTATTCAAAATTTGTTTAACAAATTCTTACTCTTATTTTCAGTCTGTGATATTAATTGTGTTTATTTACTACATTTGCTGTTTAGAATATGTTTTTTTAACTACTAAAATACTTTTAACTATTGAAATCTGTATTATACTTTTTAATTAAAAATAAAGTGCTGGATTGCAAAATATATTATATCTTATACTCTCTCAGGCAGTTTATTGGAGTCCTTTAGTATGTGTGTAGCAGTGAAAATTTAATTGTAATAATCAAACAAACCATTAGGTATTAAAAAATTCAAATTATTACCTATTAAACAATAATAAAAGTTTACATGTTTAATACAACTCACCTGACATAGTCATACCAAGTATATACCAGTGAAGTTAATAAATAGGCTTTTTGCATTACTTTACATAATAAAAAAAATCCCAGCACAATGCGATCGCGACACAGTGGAGATATGGCAGTTGGGTCAAGTATAATGATATATGACATAAGATTAAAATCACTATCATAAAAAACGCTTCGATACAAATCTGTAGATTGTGTTTAATTAAAAAAAAAAATTTAATTATTGGATTATTTCAAAAGCCACATGATCTCCTATTTCCTAATTTATATCTTAATTAAAAGTTTTATGATTTATAAGTGTAATATATGTATTTATATATAAATGGAAATGGTTTTATTTAAAAAAAGTGTGACGAATGAAAGAGGTATATAAATATGATTTCTCATAAAAAAATTGATTAATCCATACATTTTTTAAAAAGTTATAGCATTTTAAAGTTAAAAATGTAAAATATAAAATCGAGAATTTTCACTCAAGAATAACATTCGGTAACTATTTTCACCATAAAAACAAAATAAAATCCAAAAAAAATTTTTTTCCATAATAAAGTATGTTACATAATCTTTAATTTAAGGTATAAGTGTCAGTATTTCCGGAAAACTTTAAAAATTTAAGTTGAAAAAGTTAATTTTTTTATGAAGAAGTCACTTTAAGCCCATAGCGTGGTAAAGGGTCAAATTTATAAAAAATATATCAAATGATAGGTAAAAACACCATGCATCTATATAAAAAAAAATTATATTGATTTGGTCATTTTGAAAAAGTTATGGCAGTTTTATGTAAAAAAAATTGAAAACATGTCGAAATTTAGCGATTTTTAAATTATAATTTTTTTGAAGATTTCCTCCATTTACAGGGAACAAGGGAATTTTTTTAAATTTTAATGGTAATATCTACGACTAGATACAATTTGTGATCTTTTGACGTATCGTTGAAAGACATCGGTTTGGTGAGAGCTGAGAAAAAGTAGTAACAGACACAAAAAATACAAATAGTAAAATTAATATCTTCTCAGTTTGGCATCGAAGTTAACAAGATTTTTGTAAAAAATTTATATTTTTAATTTTATAATGCTATAACTTTTTGAAGAATATATGGATCAATACAATTTTTTTATGATAAATACAGTTTTGTACGAGGCAGCTAGACCGTAGGACGGCTAGTTGTGCACCGTACTAGAATGCCGTTTTATTTTAAGTCTGTTTAAATCGCAATTATTGAAGCGGGAATGGGTTACCTGTGGGATGACGGCTAACTGTACATTCATAAAGTAACGAGAGTAGACAATAATTAAATAACAAATAACCACATATATTAGAAATTCTTCAGAGAGTATCTTAAATTTAAGGGGTAAAGAGGGGACCTTAAATACTAATGGCCAGCATAGCGGCCTAAAATAAAATAGTTAATCTCAATTAAAACAAACAATAAATAACATTAAAAATAATGTAAACTAGCTGAATAGATGAAGTTGTTGGTAGGGATGAGCATACTGTATTAGATCTTGTGGTAATGGTGTCGAACATCTGAGTATCACGAGTCAGATGAAAGCAGACGATGGAAAAGCGACTATGGTAATGAAGTAATTTAGTGATGGTCAGGGTTCAATCATTGGTGGCGTGCAAAAGCACGAGAACTTTGAGCACAAGGGTACAATAAACAAGTAAAAGAAAAACGGCGTACAATGGCTGAACAATTTACCATTCAAGCGAAGGCGCTTGCTACAAAAAAAATATGACACATAAAACAATAGAATTACTGACTTACGACTAATTTTTTAACATAAAAATAGTATATTTTTATCTAAATCACCCATTTGTAAATAAAAGATTATATTTCGGGACAATTTTTTTTTTAACTTACAGGACAAGCCATGACAAATCATCCAGAAGTGGTTTCTCGACGACCTCATATTATTCTTAAATTTTCAGGGTTTATTCATTATGCTATAATAAAATTGAAACAATTTTTTTTTTATGACTCATTTTTATGGCTATCTTAATATAAACAGATAGTTCTGTGCTGTTGGTTTTTTTTTTTGCCTATGCTTGCCCTCCCTTACTGTTCCTCCAAAATGGTACTGTAAGCTTTTCGTTAGTTGTTATCTTGGATTTTATTTTCATTTATATTGTTTACTTTTCAGATCGCCTATCAAACCTCGATTCCATAAGATATTGCCATTCGACAACGGAGGATCCTCACGATTACTATGTGCAGTCCGCTCCTGGAGTTCATCGAAAACTTTTATTTCTTATTTAATTTACAACGTAATTCCTTAACCAATATTATTGTATCGGTTTACGTTCGAGTCTCTCATTAAACCGTATTTTTCTAATGATAATTATATCAATTTGTATTCCAAGTACTACATTACTTCAATATGAACGACATTTTTTTATGTGTGTGATCGCGACAATAAAGAAACATTAATTAATAAAGAAACGTTAATTTTTTTATTTTCAAAAGAAACTAATATCCTATGTGTACAATATTATTTACCATAGATCGAAAAATAATAAATAATTAATAATTTAATAAATTATTAATTATATTAATGCATTCAAATAATGCATTTCAATATGAATAAAACCTTTTTTTATGTTTCTTGTTGCCCAATAATGAAAAATGATTTTTCCTATTTATATTACTTTTTTTATTTATACAAATTTCACAAAAAGTATGGCTGCAATTAATTGTACACGCCTAAAAAAAAAAAACAAATTTACATATTCAATTTTATATAAAATATTCATTTTCACAATTTATGACTAAATTTTATTTATTTCCCAATGATAATGAGTTATTCAAAATCATTTATTTAATCTAATTTATGGATGCGTAAAATTCAAGTTTTCTTGAACTAACATTTTGTAGTAATATACACAATGCTCTGCATTACGCATCTTACATTTATCAATATTTAATATTTAATTAATAATATAATTATATTCAATTTATCAATATTTAATACCAATTGTATACTAACAAATAATTAATTTATCTGTCATAACATATACACATTTGTACACTAGCTATTACATATGCATATACATGTTAAATTGATTATTGTATACTATGCATCTTATCTTAAAATAATTATCATGTTCAAATTTTATACAATAAACTGAAAATCACTAAAAGCGCT